TTACATCATTATTTTTAATGTTCAGATGATGAACTTGTGATGAAAGACCAATGGACTTTAACATTGAAAGATTTTGGCTGGCATACCAATTTATGATATGACAAATGAAAAGTAGATAAAAACTTGGGGAATCACTACATAAGAGCAGCATTGATTGAAAATTGTGGAAAAAACAAAACAAAACAAAGATAGATTGTATTCAAAAACACCAAACTGGACATTCCCAACTGAAAAAGAAAAGGAACCTGGTCAATATATGGTCAGATACTAAGAAAACAAAGTGGAGAAATGGAATTGAAATGAAAAGAAGTGATAAAGAAAATTGATCCTGACATTAAATATATACATACATAGCCAATCAGGGGAAGCCTCCATCGTCTGTCAAGATGGCACCCAAGTGTCACTCGGGAAAGCGACAGGCTTCTCCCGCAACTCCGCGAGCAAGAAAAATTTGTTGGAGAGCCTTGTTTGACCGGGGGCCACCAATGTCCAGGTCAGATCTACATGATCTGAAAGCTAGCAAGATAGTAAGAGCAAAATGCTTATTGCAAGGAAGTGCGAGCAATATGCTTAATGGAAAGCATAGAAGTTGAATGGATTTCGAAAGAGATATAGCGAAATCTTTTCTTAAAAGGATATTTTACGACGTATCTCAAAAGTTATGTTCCAAAATTATGGTAGCAGCCAAAATGTTTACCTTTTTTTAATAGATTACACTCCCTTCCATCACAAATCTCTTTTTTTTTTTAAATTATTACTCGGCCATTAAAATTTACCTTTCTTCCTGACCAAAAAAAAAAAAAAGTGAGCAATTATTCAACTTTGACCAGCCTTGTAAATAGGAAATGAGTGCATTCTGGTAAAATTTTCTCTTAAAGGTATTATTTTTTATGGCATATATCGAAGAAAGTTTGACTTTTTGAATGGCTCAAAAAAGAAGCAGTTAAACCAGTTGGAAGACAAATGTTACTATCTAGTGTGACTTTAAAAATTCCTATATTTGAAAGCTGATTAGCTACATGATTTTCGTTTTGGAACCTTCTTTAACCGGGATATAACGGGTGAATAATGCGGGTTATAATATTTAGTATTTAAAAAACTATAATTTCCGAAACATTCTTCCAAATCCTTGACAAAATGTCATTGCGACATTTCCGTCAGTGTCAAAAATGAAAACTTAGACTTTTTGATTCAAAAGTCAGAAAATACGTTTGGAACAACATTATTTAAAGAACATCGACATGATTAAGCATTCAAATTACATTTCAACCGACTGGGTCCCATCGGTTCAAAGTTTTTGAAATTAGAAAATGGATGAATGAAATAAATAGAAGAGAAATAATGTGGTCCACCTAAAGATACGACCCGGAATGCAGCCGGTCAACAAATATATTTGTTCAAATATTTGTCCGGATGTCCTGTGCATTGATTTTGCTGATGATGATACTTTTGGTTTTTTCCATTTTTCCCTCAGATCAAAAATACTGCTTCTCTTTGACATGAACAACTATCCCTTAGTTGAAGTATCAGTAATTTATTTTGTAAAAAGATAGGAAAGCATTAGCTTTGGTATTTGATTTTAGGGGACGTGAAACCCAAATTTGAATTTCTGCAATGTCCTATAATCATTCCGGGTTATCAGCAAAACTAGTTAGGGAATAAGTTGTGGTGCTGATCTCTTTTTCTGGTCTGCTATTTTCTTTTATGAAACATTTTTATATTAGCCTCATTTTAGCCTCAAAATTATGCTGTGCTGTTGAAAAGAATGGCTGAATTAAAGAGTGAGAAGATAAAATCTGGTTCTAGTGGTGTTTCAGGCCATAAAGTATTCCATCTGGCCAAGTAAAACAGAAACCATTGCTTATTTTCTTCGTCAGATTATTCCGTGTCTCTCATATGGACAGAAAAATGGAAAAAAAAGTATAATTTTAAGAGTAAATATATTGTAAATTGTTGATACCTTTACCAAAAGATACCGTATTAGCTAAATAAAAATGGGAGGAAAGAATAGAAAAAGTGATGAATTGAACGAGAAAGAATAAGAATAGTCTAAATGAGGAATAAAGTTCAGGGAACTGGAATTTTTCCACTTCCAGTCCAAGTGCATAAGTCGACCTGGCCCTCACTGCAATTTAACTTAGCTATATCTTTCAGGCTTATTATTTGGGGAGCGTTTTGAATTGCAATCTATCATGGCAACCAAATACAACAAATTGATATATCTTACCAAGCCTGAAAACTAATGATGCTAACAAGAAAGACACAATAACGAAAAAGTGAATGTTTAAAAACCAAAAGAGACAGGTTAAAATTTCAACTTTTTAAAACAACAAGAAATCATGTATAATTGCATGAATTCATTGAAAACATCCATTGACACATAATGACACACAAGATCTCTTTGTTCTAAAAAGCTTTTTTGTGATTCGAAGACATATACCGCCCATACTGGAAAGAAACTTTGCCGAGGGTTTATGATGCAATGGTTGAGTGATCTTGTCCCTTTCCATACATTTTCCAACAGATTGTAAGAAACTGTCACAGTTCTTTGAAACATAAATTTTGATGCTTAAACTTTTTATACTTCCAGTGAACACACCAATCTTGATGACTTTCGTGAGCTCCACTTCTCCACAAATGCAACAATCCAAAGCAGAGTCAAAGTTCTTTATGACAGAAGGTATGGTTGTTACGTATTATGGAAATTATAGCTGGCAATCGATGCCTAATGGAAATTTGACATTTGACCATTGCATAAATCTCTCTGTAATGATGAATGGATGAACAGTGAAAAAGAGGGCATAAAAAGATGGACTGGACAGAATAGAACAGGAATACTTTACAATTCAGAAATGTGCTTTGATTACGATTCAGGAATGCACTTCGATTTTCGAATGGAACCATAGACTTTTTTAAATGAAAACTTTTTGAAATTAATCAAAGTTGATCATGAAAGGCTGAGATAAAAAGATGTATTATACACTTTTATAGGATCTATCTCTTTATTTTTTTTTCCTCTCACCTAGCAGGTATTGGATACTCGAAAAAGTATAAAAAGTTTAATCAAATGAAGATCCACTTTTAAACTGTATAATTACTGAGTGAACTATTCGATGGTAAACGAACATTCAATCAAATTCAATTTTCGTAGTCAAAATTCATCGATTATTATTTATTTAGAACTGAAAATGAATATTTTACAGTAGTAAAGTCTAATTAAATGAAACTTGATTGTTTATGTAAAATATGTATTAGTCTTCCGGAAGGATAACAATCAGGTAATCGGGAAGAGATGCCGGATAACAGGCATATTCATTATTTCTTAAATGCGCTTTTCTGCATATCTCTATTATATTTCTAGCAGGTTACAAAGATTTCTCTCTCCTGTAATAACTAAGTGTGAAGAAGTTGCAAAAAAAAAATCTCAATTTTTCCCTCGCTTTTTGAAAATATATTCTTTTACACGTTCCTCTCATCTGTCCGACTCAATTAGCAAACTTCAGTGACAAGAATATTGCATTTTTTTTTCATTTTTGTTGTGACATGCGACAATTAAGGTGCTGTTTTAATTTTTAATTTGCATTAGAAACAAGAAAAAATTTCCTTCATTCTTCCATGGAGCAAATCAAAAGTGATACTTAACAAAAGTTTGATATTGCAAATGCTGGCGAAAGCGTTTTTATCGTCTTCTTACTTTCCTTCTTCATAGAAGGCCCAAATGTAAGGCACAAAGATCATTTTCATTTATCATAACGAAAAGAAGAAGAAGATTCTCTTTTGAGGTGTTTATGCCTTTTTCATTTTTTCTTTTCATCAAATTTTAGTCATCAACCTGTCCATATCAAGATGTGTTGTAAAATGCAATGAGTCCATGATAGGTTTTTTTGAAGCCAAAAAAAATGTTTTCCGATTTTATGAGGGAACAAACGATTCTCTTTGTGCAATTAATTCTTCTTCTAATTAGCCATTTGCTGGGACCATTTCTTTGAACTTTTCGTCATATTTCTAATAAGGAGAAAGAAATCGTCTTTACTATAATCTTGCCATCCTCATTAGATTCATTTCCACCACTGTTTGATACTTCTGAATTCAAAACATTTTGACAGCAGCCAGCTTTGGAGATTTTGCTAAATTATTGTCATCGTAGTTCTGATGGACTGATTTTGTATGTATTGCATAAGAAAGACTACTTACGGCTATCCAAGCAAACTTTCCAGTTTAATTTCTAAATTTTCAAGAATTTTATTTTTTTAGTCATAGATGTAACTTTATGTTTTTTCAGTCCTTTGTAACGATATAAACAGATTGATAATAAAATTGATAAGTTTAATTGAGGAGGGATGATGAGATGGAAGGAGTGTTGATTGCAGCACTTCCATGTTTCAGTAAAGTTGGCAAAAGACAGGAATTCTATTTTAATTACATTTATTCATTCATAATATCAATATGAAAATAAAAAATGGATCAAATGTCTTCAATTTCTTTTATTTTAATACCTCGCTAATTCTACTTTTGCGCTCAAAAATTAGTAATATGAAATCAGCAATTTATTGGGATGATTGATTGGAAGAAAAAATATGCGTTCTAAATTCGATTATTAGAATAGTGACCAGCAGAATTTTTGGTGAAAAGCTACCGCATGGTGGTATTCGCCAAATGATACAGTGAAGTAAACAAACAGACGTTGTTATGGTCGATTTGACAAATTGAACTCAGATAATCCAAAAAAGTCTTCGAAGGAGTAGAAATTCTAAGGAATCAGTCTTGGATGAATAACTGGATAAACCGGTCATTGATTACGGGTTCTATTGCTGCAAGAAGAAAGCTAATATATAAAATAAAGAGGAACTTGTGTTCCTATGCAAAATGTGATGATGAATGGATGAATGGTGAAAAACAGGATATAAAAGATGGGCAGGGGAGGAGGACAGGAATGCTTTACAATCCAGGAATGTACTTTGATTCATTATTCAGGAATGTACTTCGATTTTTAAATGACAGGAAAGCGTTGAATGGATGATAGGGAAGCAGGAAGACAAGTCTACTCTGTCGTCACACAATTAAATCACTTGACGAAAATAGATCTGCATTTTGAGATAAGTTGAAAAAGAAAATGCAAAAATAAAAAGATCAAAAGATCAATCAAACTTCGTTAAGAGAGATCAAGCAGTACTATTTCAGAATATTTCAAACTGTTTACAAGAAGGCCAAAATTATTATGAAAGTGTTCCGATGGTTTAAGAGACTGTTTCTCACTCTTGTTGATAAGAAAAAAAGTATGAGAAAGAAGATATGTTTGAAAGGGAGAAATGTACGAACCTTATAATATAATGTTGCCTTTTTTTTTGAAGATTGAGCTAGCAAGTTATTTCATTTAGGCTAGCAAATTATTTCAAGCAAAGGGTACTTTATTGATACAATTTGCTCTGTGCCAACGATTCAATTTTTCTGAATCACTGGATGAAGCCTTTCAAGATGAAAAAATGAACGAAATAAGGAACCAGAAAAAAAGTAATTGAATATATAATAGCAATGATTGGCTATTACTTGCAAGTTACATTTTTCTTTTCTAAAAGGAAAAAAATTCTTTCTAATTGAATTATAATATTTTTGAAATGCCATTTATTTTTAAATCATTCTTACCTTTGTGTTTGAGGATAAAAGAAATATAAATCTTACAGACACTCTGTTCATACTTTGAAATTGCTCTACCAATTCTTACCTTTACTTGACGATGAAGGACTGACTTGTTTGAAATATGACATTTAATTCCACCGAAATACGTAAATGATTCATAAACTGTCAACATTACAAAAATGAAGAGATGTTTAGCCTGCCAGTATAAAGTGAAGTTTATCGGTTTGAAATTGCGGCCCCTCAAGAAGCATTGAGAGAAAGACCGAATATTTCCTTCAGTAACGACTACGCAAATTATTCTTTTTGCTGCGAAATTAAAAAAAAAATCGAGGAAAACAACTGAAGAGCAGGGAATTGCAAATGCAATAACTGAATGCGCAAATTTGCATTATCCTATCTTCGATGATTTTTGATCTTCTTATTCTGAATACTGTAATCGCAATCTTCCGAGAATATGAATCCATCGTTTGGTGAAGGTGAAGATTTCTCATGACTTCTCAACCATCATCTATGATTGCAAATAAGCGGAAGGAAAAGGGCTAGAATAAGTTTGTGATTCGCTGGCAATTTGCTTAAAAAATTACTTATCCCAGGATAATTAAATTTCAGCACATGTCAAAGATCGACGTGTCAAATCTCTCCGATCCTGTCCCTTACTCCTATGATCACTAAAATTGATGATTAGTAACATTTCTTGCTGGGAAGCGACGAACGAAATTTGTTAAATTTAATAATATTCATTGATCAATGATTAATTTGAATAACTTGAGTCAAGATTTCCGAACAGAGAAATGCTTTGATTTGAATCGATTAATAATTTAAAGTCAAGAAATCTGTATTCTATAGGATACAAGAACTTTGCGTCGCTAGTCCGAAATGATTAAATGGAAAGTTCACTTTGATTGCTCTTCCTTTAAAATCTTTAAAAGCGAACTCTTAATTTGGTAATTTCTTCCAGCTCCTTAGTCGTTAAGATTGCAAACTTTGAATCACTCTCAATTCAAAAAGGCCACAAAAAGAGGTGTTAAAGTATTTGGCGCAGTTTTCGTTAATTTCTCTGTCCATTCCTCATTAGCAAGGTATGCGGGTATTAAAAATATCTTAAATTTCATTTTTAAAATAACAAATCTTCATTGTCTTGCTGGAAATCACAAATGATTTAACCGATTAATTCTTCAAAAACTTTTCTTCTGGATTGGAATCACTAATTAATTGAAAATTTAGAAATGAAATTTAGAAAGCACTGAATATTTCCTGTAGTTCCTGTAAACCGCTTGATAAGAAATCTAAAAGAAAATTCCTTACACTAATAATTTACTGTCCAACTAATTTCTTCTGTTGTTCTAAAAGGAAGATTATAACATTAACAAGAATTGATCAATAATAGCCCCAACAATGTTTAGCTATGCTAACAAAGCCAAACTGTCAATTTTTGAAAGCATAGAGAAAATGCTAAACAGAAAAAAAAACAGCTTCTTTAATGAATGAAACGAGAAGAGAAATGTTGCTTACAACATTTTTTTCTGCAATGAATATGAAAGATAAGTGTTTAAGATAACTGAAAAGACCATTAGTAAATATAAGTTGTATCTTTGCAGGACAAAGTAAGATGTAAGTTACTCTTATGAGTCAAGCAAATATAGAAATATCAACTCCGAAGTGAGATATAAAGTAATCAATTAGCCACATCAATCAATACTCATCTGTTCGAACTCGTTCGCAGTAGATTATATCGTTTCCTCATAAACTGCTGTAGAAGAATCAATAAAGTATCATGATGATAGTATGGTGATATAGAAGTTACTTCACGTTGTATCATTATGATAGCCTCACGTAAGGTTCCATTGAAAAAAAATCAAAATATAAAAATGTGCCAAACTATAAATTAATCTTAGACTTGAAAGAGTTAAGAACTAGAAAAAGTTAGAAAAAACTTAAAAAATTGAAAAAAAACTTATAAAGTTGGAAAAGAATTTCGAAAAGTTGGAAAAAAGTTTTAGAAATGTTAGGAAAGAAGAGAAGTAAAGCAACAAATTATTGCCTTTCCTCTGACTTCATACTTCTCAATAGCATTTATCTTGTCAACAATGTCTTTATTCTACTATGTAGTGGTCTCTTTGATCTTTTATCAAACACTGTCGTTCATTCCTTCCAATTCATAGAAAATAATCCATACCAAATGGTAAGATGGTAAGTAGAACAAAAGAGTGGTCCAATGGCTGTTGCGTCATGACCTATCTTGATTTCACGAGCGCTGAAAATGTTAAACGATGTTAGATTGATTCAAGGTTTACGGTTATTCTGAAGATCGCAGTACCTGTCTAAGGTTACTTGAGGAAGCCCGATGGCTGATAGGTGCAGTTTGAAGGAACGTTTGCAAGAAAGTACGGAGGATCTGGAAGCGACTATCAAAATGGTTCCAAACTATATTTTGAACTTCAAAAAAAGTTTTTATTTCACAACTTCATTCCACAACTTTAGAAAAAAACAGTTCTTTAGTTCGTTTGCAAAGCTTCCCATTTATCTGTACAGGATGGTATCTTTTCACTGGGCTAGTCCCTCTTTTCAGTTCACGTTTTCTATAACTTTTGGAAATCCGGTAATTTGCTCATCGTCTCTTTGTTGAAGTTAAGAGACCTTTTAGATTTTGTTTAGAATCACTTGTCCTTATCCAATAAGCGCTGGTACATGACTAACTAGTATTGGGAACAAAACAAAAAACGAAGAAGTGTAAAATAATGAAAGAGAGGCGCAGGATTTCTGAGGAAAAAGTGGGGTTCATTTATTTAATCCCAATATCTCATTAAACTGAATATTGAATTGCTTTATTACAGATAATTGCGTTTGTTCTGGACAGAGATCGAAGCTGTGGATCGCTTACATCTCTTTGTGAATCATTCCGCAAGAAACATACTGAATTAACGAAGCTACTTGCCAAAGGTTAGTTTGACTGTAAACTTTTGTTGCTTATCCATATCTTGTTCTTGTATTTTCAGTACCTGCTTACCAGCAAAGAGAGCGAGAAATCCGAAGATTGGAAGCAGAGGTTGAAGCACGGGATAGAGTTCTTGGAGATTTGCAAAAGCAGTTGATGGCTGCAGAAAAGCTCATAACTAAGATGGTTTTTCAGGTATAGGAAAAAATTTGGCTTTGTTTCATAGATGAGTATCTGTATTTTCGCATTTTCCAAAATTAAACTTTGAAGTTAGGAAGTGAAGTGTAAAGAATGGCTCTAAGATTTTGAAGCAGAGTTGAAAGAAACCACTGAAGATAACTTTCTTCATCATCTTCCTGTTACTTTCCACTTTGAGGCATATGTTCCTGCAAAATCATTGTTTTTAAGGCCGATAAAAAAGTGAAGGAAATGCGCCAATCAGAGGCAAACAGGGTAAATAGTGAAACGATCATTCGTTTCGCCAATCAGATCAGTAGAACATACGCCGTCGCAGCGCCGCTTGGTTGGCAGCTTGGCGATGCATCTCGACCATATCCTACCGAGGTTGGAGGATCTTTGTTCTTTTATTGCTAATAATGGAAACAAAAAGAAAATCATCTCTAGGCATTTTTAAACTAATAAGTGGAAAATATTCGTAACCTTCTTGTTAGAAAATCCTCTCTTAAACCTGTTTCTCTTTTGTGTCTCTCATAAAGATTGATAACTTACATATTCCATAAAGTCTCAAGTATAGTTTGAAATCAACATATTAAGAGACTTATAGGCAGAATTGCGTTTATCAGCATTGGCAGCGCCACGTGTAATAGTACAAGCAGCTCCTCCAGCTTTATCTTTGCTTCGTCAACCTACTGCCAGTACTAGCGGGATGTTACGTGGTAGCGGACGTGGCGCTTCACCGATGACATCGTATTCGGCAACTATGCAGCAACAGCAAAGGTATTTTCCATATTAATAATCTTCCTTTAATCGTTGACGAGGAATGTGATCTACAGTTGGATTAACGCACGTATGAACTATATACCTTCAAGTATCACCGGAAAATGAAAACTGAAAGTGCTCGGGTGTTGGTTAAGAAGCAGTTGGGGTTAATAAACGCAGATTTTACAGATATTTTTTGATTTTAAGTTTTTATTTTGTTTGGAAATGAGAGTTATTTCATTTCAGATCATGGAGTCCACGTGCTACATTTGTTCAACAGTCATCTTCATCACCTAGAGGTAGAAATCCAGCCGGCCGTGGTAGCATCATATCGCCACGCATTAGCACCGCATCAGGTGCGAGCCTGTTGCAACGACGTCCATCCATGACGGGAAGTAGTTCGCATTTATCTAGTCCCTCATCATCCTATCAAGGTCCCGTTAGAGGAGGACTTCCACCGCCAGTAACAAATGTTGAACAGATGAGCTCTGACTCAAGCAGTAGTTCCAGCAGCGACGAGGGTAGCCCCTCCTAGTTTTCTGTGTCTTGCTTATGTAATTTTAAGCTTAAAATTTGTTATGTTATCAAATAGCAATTATTCAAAAGCTGTTTTTGCTTGATTTTAATTCATCTATAGTTTTTTGCTATCCTACAAAAACTGCCCATGTAATCTGTTCCAAACTTTTAAATACGATGCAGAAGAATATTAATCCATCTGTCCTACTACTCATTTGCCATTCTTTGCGAATTATAGGTTTGAATCTTTTGCTTATAGATATAGTAAATGAGAGTGTAGACAAAATGGAAGTAAGGAGCGCTGGAAACCTCAGTTTTGGCATATAGTCGTTTTTGTTCATGTAATCTTTTTTGTTGAAAGTAATCTACTTTAGTTTTTCCTCGAGATCCTAACCTTGGGCCAGTCATTCGGAGTTTTTGCTTCACTCTTCTCCATCAATGCTCATGCTGCTTTGCAAAGTCTTTGTTATTCGATTGCATCAAAATTTTAAATGTATAGTTTTTCTGTCTAAAAGGTTTTCGTTAATGGACATAATGGGCCAGTATTTCCATGGACCAGTAAGTATCTCCTCTTATAAACTTTTTTTTTCTTCAATTCCCCTACAAATTTTATTCCTGCTTCGTCAGCAGCTGATTTTTAAGGTATTTTCTAGTTGCAAGTTTAAAATAGCGGGCGAATTTATCGGCTTTGCATTCGTCATGCATATTTAACAATAGCTTAAGCCACAAAATTTTCCACCGAGAATTTTCTTGTTCTGCGGCAAGAAGTTTCGCTTTACTCTAATTTAATTGGCATAAAGAATGAGATTTCAAAACAGTCAGAAATCCACGTTTTTTAACAATTAGATTGGGGATAAGACTAAATTGCTAAGAATTTAGCCACTGCTTCGTACGGCTTTTCTGCTATGTCTGCATAGAAAATGGATAAATTGTAAAGGAGTTCGAGTTTCTATGGAAGGAGTGAAAGCAAGCGGTTCTTCGAAAAAATTTAATAATGTCTTCTAGAAGTTATGAATGTTGTTGATTATTCTGACTACGAAGTGTTGAGATCGCAATCAAAATTTGATTGGAATTTGATGAAGTTTGAAAATATATATTTACGGATAACAGCGAGTGGAAAGTTCTAGAGGTTTAATGTAAAGTTGGTTCTTTTGAGGTCCATCAGATAATGATGGGCTTTTCGAAGAAATCCGGTAATATTTTATTGCTTATAGTTATTTGTACTTCGCGTTTTTCTGTAAAAAAAAATTATTTTCAAATCTACTGTTTCGGATTATTTTGTTTTGATTAATAAATCCTTCTTTACACATTAATGCAATAAAATGTGCACTTTTTTGTACTGAATATTGTATATTGATTATGGCATTTCCTAATTCAGCACGAATCCTTTTAATCAAAATAATCTGCTGACGCAGTTTTCTGACTAGAAGTCTCCATCAGGTGAAACTGTATTTAGTGCACATGAATGATCCAGAGAAAACAGCGGATACAGTCGCCCCAAATAATGATTCGGACACATGCGATGCTCAGATACGTCCGTTTCCCCAAGAAGTAAGCAGTGCTAGTGCAGGTATATCAGGTTTATTTTCGCTTCATGGATGGTAAAGTTGTAAGCTGTGAGGATTGGTGTCCTTGATTTTTAGCTTTCTTTCAAATGACTGCTTTACAGGGTTGCGTGACTTGCCTGATCTAACTGATTTTGTCAATCAAAAGACGGAAGATAATCTAAATGAATTATTCGCCAATCGGTATACAATGGTAAGCCAATCAGATTAACCGGTACAAAAGCTGTTGAAGTGGTAGTTATGTCGGCGTAAGATTTTCAGGCTAATAAGCTGTACGTAGAGGTTGCAAGTGGCTTTTCCAACCCAGTCATTGTGTATCCATGGAGCAAAAGACCAAAAAGAAATTTCGATTACATGTATGTTTCCACCACTTGCGCTTGTTATGATGTGCATGGAATAAAGGGGAATTCTATATTATCTTTCTGCATAATAACGGGAGGGGGGATTCTTTGGAAATTTCAGTCAGTCTAAAATTAATGAAAATTAGTTTTGATATTTCGGTGAAAGTTTCAAAGACTTACAGAAGGGAAAACTAGATTTTCCAAACATGTTTCAGCAGTGGTGAGCAAAAATCGTACAGAGGAGGCAACAGGCGAAATGTCTGCTCAGAATGGAGTAGATGGGGAAATCCGAGTTGCGATCCTTCTGCTGCACAGGAATCAAGGAAGAGACGTAAGCCAACCATGGATTATGTTCGTGTTTCGTATCCAGGCAGAACGAATCCCTAATGTTGGCCGAGAAGAAATTTTAAAACATTCAGTATTTCTATGGTCACGCTGTATGAAATAAAACTTCGAGTACTTATCTGTATCAAAATTTCACCGATAACTGATCTAAAGTAGTTCTGTCATATCGAAAATTAGAAAGTAAAAATATTTCGTTGTGACTTCACAAAAATATTTTATTCAAATCAAATAATCCCTGGAATGAAATATTTCTCTCCAACTTTTTGGAGGATGTACGAGAAACTTCTCAAATTTAATGCGGAGATTCTATAGGATTAGTATTTTACCTATTTAGTTACTAAATAAAAAATGAGAAGAGTGCTAAATAAGAAATCCGTTCCCACAAAAAAAAGAAGAACAGAAAAAACGAAAAAGCCAGAAATAAGCATATAATGAATTGCTAGCTTGGAAGTTCCGAAAAAAATACAAATGGCACACCAATAGCTCAGTTGATATACTTCCCTGTCGTTCTTTTTGGAAAGGCGTAAAGGTATTTAAAAGTTTGAACGCTTTATTTTAGTAAAATCTAATAAGTGAGTTGAGGTATGTAATGTACAATCACCACTTTTGTGGAAGAAGTGTTGTGAATTTGACCTGCTTACTGTGTGTAATTTAACTGGAAAATTGAAAGGATTTTCACCAATTCACTAAAGATTAGAACCATATTACTCTGACTGGAAACTTGAGGGTATTAGTTTTGCTCAAAAATAATGGCTTTAACTGAGCCCTACACATCGAGTGTTACAAAAACTAAAAAGAATCAATAAGGGCAGTGCTATCATTTGGAACAACTTTATAGAAGTTCGAGGGGTGCCTTTTTTTTGACTCACCTGTACGATGCCGAGTAGGAATTGACAGAGATGACATCGGTCTACAGATTTTTGCATTTATAAAATGATGAAAATATTTTGATAAAATATCTGAAATCAAGATGTCATGATAAGTATCAGAAATTAGAGGAACCATGGACTTAAACTCCAAGTGAGGTTCTAGTTTCTGTCTTCAGCACCAACTTATCTTGATCCTCCTCTTCACCCCGAAAACTTCAGGTTTTGCTGAGAGAGATCAGATCAGCAGGAATCATCTTTCTTTTATCTCTTATCATATTAAGGAGAATTGAGAATAAGAAAATTCAGCCCTTCCTAAAAACAAGGCTTTACGGATGCCTTGAAGTCATTTCTTCCAATACTTATATTATCAAATCACATGAGCAATGAAGCAAAAAAAAAGCGTATATAAATCAGGAACAAAGTCAAGAATGACGAGGCGGAATACTTCGACTTCGTCGTGGTCGCTCCATGTCTCGCCTTTTTTCTGCACTTAGACCACATAATTTGAGGATCTGGTCACCATATTTTTTCCAGATAAGATGCTGACCATACATACCATAGAATCTGGAACATTCTTTGGAACATAAAAAAATATAATATAAAAATGTAACTTCCGAAAAAAGCAAAAAAGAGCACTACCCGAAGCAAAGAAAGCATATAACGAGCTCTTTTTAAAATCACGAAAAACATTTTTTAAAATCCTACACATGCCATCCATCACTGTTTATGAAATTCATGTGACTCCCGTCAATTCAAAAAAATTTTTGCTACTGATCGGAGAAGTTTATAAATACAGTGCAAACATACAATCCAAACAGTGATCCTCCTAAATGTGCTGCATGATCGAACAATTTGAAACCGAGAAGCAAACATATGAAGTCAAAAGCAATCATTCCAGTCACAGCTGACTTCGCTGAGAAATCAAAATGGGGCACAAAAACAATTTTTAGTCTTGCATCTGGCAATTTAATGCATGTGTATACTAATAGAGCCATTATCGCACCACTCTGCAAAGTTGTAAAGTAGCAACTTAAATAGTAATTAGGTCACGATTTATACTTTCTGAAGGAATGGACCGAAAATATCTCAGAAATGATAAAATTAGAACTAACAGCTCCAAGAGCTCGTCGATTCGTCCTTATTACACATTTGTGCGTTATTCCAGCCAAGGACGATACCGCAGCGGCTGTTACATAGAAAGCCCAAAACTGTAAATATAAATACAGTCAGCGAAACATCAGATTTTCATCAATTAGCAGAAAGACAACATTCTAAATAAAAACACTACTCTGAATAAAAAAGGAGTGAATACAGAATAATGATTCAGAGTCAATACTAACAAGAAATGAGAAGACACTTTATTTAATCTCAAACCTGCTCAATCCCAAGAAAACAATCGATGGAAACAGGGGCAAATGTGTGGAGCACATACATGTTTAGCACAAGATGAAGCATATTTGCATGAGAGAAAGCACTTAATACCATTGGAAGACAAAGAGCTTCTAAAATACATCATTTGATAAGCACATTAAGTACAGGATATAAATCACAATACACTAGTAGAATGTATGCGTGTTCAATATTGAGAGTAAGAAATTATTTGTGAAGCTTGGAATCACTTGTGTAATTCGAAAAATAAAATCAAATCGAGTAAATGGTGATGTCAACTTCATGCACGAGTTACAAGAAAATTGAATCAATTAAACTAAGTATTAATACTAAGGAAATCGTGGAGACAAGTTTAAAAGGTATATGCTTTAAGTAGGTTTGTGAGAATATAAAAAGTTTTCCTAAGTTTAGAAAATGTAAAGAGTTATAATTGAAGTAGTTATAAGTGAAAATATATAAACGAACTTGAAGCAAAACTATTTGTAAACCATCTCCACATGAAAATCTGCCAAGACCTGATGCCCCACATCAGCATCACCACTACGTTTATGCCAACGAGTATAAAAGTACACTTGACACCATCTCGAAGTCGACGATATTTAGACAAATGATTTTTGGTTTCATTATATCTTACACTGACCACTTCGTAGATTTCACGCCACCTGAAAGCTAAGTCCTAAAAATAAAACTAATGAAATCGAAATAAACAACTGGTACTCACTATATTTTGACTGTATTTAAAAGAGAAGAATCTCATTTCTTTGTGTCCAGACAAAAGAACGAAAATTCTAAATTTAACATGTACCTGTTATTGGATCTTTTAAGATCACATACTGTAGCCAGCGCAAATGATACAGCTCCAACCTAAACAACAGGAAAATAATATAAATCATAATCTAAAATTCTAAACTACATGGTATACCTAAAAATTTGCACAGCCATGAAAGTGACTGTATTTTAATAATCAAATTTCGGTCACTATATAATGCTTGTTAAATGGTATGTCGGAAGATATTTCTGTATGCCATTTACTGCTGTCTTTTAACATCTGCAACTAGCGAAGAAAATTTGCAGTAAGTGCAAAACTTGACATACTCCAACAGTAAATCCGAGTGCTTTCCATAAATCACGCGATGGACGGAGCGGAATCACATCTTCCTGATAAGGTAATTTCTGTTTCGACTGTTCTAATTTCTCTTTAAATTCATCAATGCGTCGCCTATATTTTTCTCTTCTGTTTAATCCGAAACGATTTCTTACTGGTTGAAAAAACACCAATCTTGGAGATTTCTTGGTTAAGTCGCACGCCCATCTCATAAGGGTACTCAGCATACCCTAAAATCTGTTCTATAAAGTACAAAGATGACTTTTACTGGGAATATTGCAGGTAAAAAACGGTTTTGCCTCACAGTATTTTCCAGAAGCCATCTAGATGCTCTGAGATTTAGTATGAAAAAAAAAATGGTGGACAGGAACTGGACAGAAAATTCATGCTGAGGTCAGAACAATTTTTCCGGTAATGCTAGCAATATCACTGTAGATAAACCTCAAATGGCAAAATCAAGAGCAAAAGTTTGAAATGTACCAACAACACAACATTACTTTTTTCAATTTGAAGCAACCTACCGGTATACCCGTCTTTTATTTGATCACTTTTCAATCAGGAAAATCAAAATGGAGAAAGACAAAAGCCAAGTGCAAGTTTCCCAGCTAAATCCACGCAATAATTCTACCTTAATCCACGCAATAATTCTACCTTAAAGCAAGAAGCGATAATCGATAATGCTTAAAATTATTATTTAAAGTGAAACATATACTGACTCAGCTCTTTAATCTCAGCACCTTAGGGAATGAAAAGCGAAACTAATGAATGATAAAACACGATCTGTTCATAGCACCACTTGCAATTTAAACGCGGGGAAGCACTGCCACATGTTGCATGATAAAAATTAGGTAATTGAAAACATTTAAAACCTTATTAGCAAGTGCAGTACTTAGAACGAACTGAGGGATGGTAAAACAACTTCTATCACAATACCTACATATTACATCCGCAAAAACTTCTGGAATACGCAACTTCCTACTTGACTATTCTAATTGCCAAGACCGTTATAATTTCGCCATTGTTTTCTTAAAAAATACGACCGAAGAATTCTAAGATGATAATTTAGATAAGCAAAAAGAATCAAGAATAAATTTTTCCACGGATTGGTCCACTATATACTCATATCCTGGTTTACTGGAAAAAGCTTCTCCTGAAAGCATTTTCACGGTCTTTCCAAAATTTTTTTTTCCCACATCGGATATACCTGACCATCATGGCAAGAGAAGCATGTATTAATGGACGACATGTCACCATAAAGATTTGTTTGTTGCATAACTGGATGATGCACTTACATCAGTGGGAGATGCAGATCCGATTACTGGACTCTCATCACTTGTTGCCAATCACTTCACTAAAAAGTGAAATTTCTTCACAAAGAAAGCAAATTTAGTAATTTAAAAAAAATTGTTTGGACATAGATAATTCTTTAAGCGACCAGACTAACAAGAGAAGAGACAGAAAGCGGTTATGAACCTCGAAATATAATCCATTATTATTACGGAGTTTTACTAGTAACAACACGAAAGCAAAACAAAACCGAATAACAAGATAAAATATAGAAATTCGAAAACTCAATATTTAGCATTCCAGTTTTTTTTCCTGTTATAGCAATAGATATCATATTCTGAGATGCATTTTCACGTACTCTAAATCGAGCAATTCCAACTAACTTGAATAGAATGTAAAAAACGGAAAATAAGTCAGACCATTTATTAATATTTTGTAGCAAACGCAAAGGAAATTCCTGGGAAGCTGCTCCACCAATCATACAAAAAAGCTTCGGAACTTAACTAACAATCTTTCTCTAGACATCGAAAAGTCGAACACCAGAAAGGATGGACCTTCCAAGTCTCGCTTAACCGTTCAAAATGATTACCCTCATACTTGCTACGTGGTATCATCGGATGATGAGAAAGTCGCAATATTAAGATTTCATAAAAAAGACTGAAAAAATCCATCAAAGTGAGATTTTAAAGCATTCTAAGGAACAACATTAAACTTCAAAGCAGTGACTTCCTAAAGCTATAAATCCTTGATTTCAGAAATCATGTGGATGGCAATTTTTGAAAATATTGACTTTCGAAATTAATTTGGGAAACACTGGAACGAAGTCTGGGACATGATCGATTGAAAGTTATTCAGTAAAGTTAACTGCTCGCAACCTGTTTCAAAAACACAACCAATACTAATTATTGTTACTTGCGGTAAAATAGACAATAATTTATTTCAATTTTTGTCAAGACAACATATCGGATTCTCATAAATCATTCGTAAATCAACTTTTGGACCAAACAGATCCCTTATATTATCGATCCCATAGCGGATCATTGTTGGCCTGTAAAACATTGTTAGAAAAACCATAAATTTTTGTAAAACTCTACTAAATTAATGCTCAGGATTATAGTACTGAAATAAAAATATGAGTATATGATGTCGCTATAGTTTCTTATAGAATGGAGAAAAGTGCCCAACGAAATACGAATTACGCACAGACGAAGACGAAGCTAACCTTTCTAGAGACAATCCATAGCCAGCAACGTTCACATCAACTGGTAATCCCATAGGTAACAACATTTCAGGGCGGAACATGCCCGAATTGCCTATTTCTACCCATTTTCCCAATCCTTCGTGAAAAGCAAATATTTCCATCGATGGTTCTGTATAAGGATTGTAGGTAGGTTTGAAGCGAAGATTAGTAATGCCTGAAATTGCACGCGTTGATGAGACCTTCCCAATTTAAAACCGAAATCTCTGCAATAAAACAAATAGCTTTATAACTTTTGTTCATTTGAGTAATGAAATAAACATAAAACTGAAAGCTTAAAAAGATATTCGGATTGAAGCTCACCACATTTGCGGAAAAATTCGGTGAAAAGACCCATAACGTGACCAAGTGTTAAATTCCTTTCAGCAACAACACCTTCGACCTAGAAAATAAACAGCTCAAACAGACCATAGAATTTAACATAAAAGAATTAAGCAAAACAGCAAACATGATTAGTAATTAACGATACCGCTCTTTTTAAGAAATTGTGAAGAAGCTTTGCATTTAGAATAGAATTTTAGAGTTAGCAAACCTGATGAAATTCGGCCAAATGTGTCGCATCTAGAGTTTCATTTCGGAAAACCCTGTCAATGCTGAACATTTTTGTTGATTTGAATCCCTAAGTGAAAGATAAATTATGGAAATAACTGTACGAAACTGACAAAAAATATTGCTTTAGGCTCAAAATTGTTTGGTAAGAGAAGGAAGACCATACAGATTAAACTTCAAGCATACTTCAGCTCATCTAATCCAGACTCATTTCACAATAAGTCATTCCAGAGTTTGGCCAGCTACAGTTTAATGGAATACATACAGAAATAACCTCTTTAGCAAGCTTATATAATTGATGAGCGCTAATTGCAGTTGTATGTGTTCGTAGAACATTCCTTTGCGCTTCTTCTAATTTCCAATCATAGTTATAACTGAAACAAAGTGCGAAAAACATCCTTTCATCGATGTGAATAAATAAAGTGTTTCATTCTATTTTCTCGGATAAGGTCGCAAAATTAAACAAAATCTGGAATAATTCAATGAAATGACCATATTACTTTCTAATTCAGTAATATTTAATCTTGCCCGTTTTTATATTAAGGCACATTATTTCCTTACTTTTCAATTTTACAATTTTCATTACAATTCCCAAGTCCGTTTCTTCAAATGATATTATTTTGTTTGATTGAAAGTTAAATTCCAGAAACGCCTGAACTTCAAAGTCCTCGAATCTTCGTAGCTACCAATTAAACATTTCTTTATGCTAAGGAAGTTTGCAATGAAACTTACCCTCTGGAACCATACCCACCCTCAGCATGAACCTTTTTAACTCGCTGTAAATAATCTTCGGGGAAACTGAAACTTTTTTCTGGATCTGATAGAAAAAAGGTGTCATGAGCATCACGTGCTGGATGTTGCTGTGGTTGAAACAGAGCATCGAAATTCCAGAAGGAAGATTCCACGTATCTCAAAAAAATTGTAAATAAATCAACACATAAGCCCAATTTTTTCCGCCATTAAAGCAGCAGGGTAGACCATCGAACTATTTCAAAGTTAAAAAGAAGCAGAAAGAAAACACTGTTAACATTTAAACCCAACTTTCAATCAAATTTAAGCAATATCTCACCTGTTAGTAGGCATTTCAACAAACCCCATTTGAAAGAAAATCTGCCGAAATTCATTTCTCACTTTCATAAGCGGATGCAGATGGCCACCAGCCGGCATCATGCCTAAGGCGTCAAAGTTATACTTCTTAAACATCTTCTTCCTCCATGAACCACTATAAAATTACCAAAAATTAAGCTGTTGCTCAAAAAACGTATCAATAAAAATATTTTACGATCAGAGCTCTATCTACCTGTTAATCATGTCTGCCGTGAGATCGACCTCGGGTTTACTTAAGACTGTCGAAAATGCTGTACCTTTTTTGACCAAATAACTTTTGATGTTACTGAAAAAGTTGGGTGATGGCTTCAATCACAGAAAAAAAAAGAAAAAAACAGCGATAAACTGATGATTTAAGTCTTCGCGTTCAGAAATGGAACGCTTACGTAAACTGCATACAATGTGAAAAGTGCATTCAATTTTTTTTGCGCCATTTTCTTTTCTAAGCTTTTTTTTCTCATTTTTCTTGTGCTACTTGAAACATAGCATAGTTGGTCTACTACACAACTGATCTTAAATTTCAAATTTGATTGCAGCCTCAATCTACGGATAATTTACCCTTTCCCTCCTTGGACTTAATTAGGATTCAGCAATCCACAGAAAACTTAATCCACATTAGTGGCAACAAGCCAAAACATAAAAAGCACTCTACATTTCCGTCATCAGTTTCCTCTTCTTCAACTCGTTTAGGGTTTTCATATCCAATTTCTGCATATTCCCTTCCAAAACCATTTTGAGCTCATTCTGTACCTTATCGTTGATCGTTTCTACTTTTCGCACTAGACGCACTGTTCTAGCAGTCTTATCAACTGCAATCCAACCGGATGCTAATGCTTTACTTATTCCCACTTTACCGAATGGTAGCTTCTGTAAGTGAAATATTTTTCAAAGTATGACATTATTTCACTGAAGGCGTCACAGACCTTGCAAACTATCTTGTTTGTTATCCTCTTAATCACTTATGACAAAATAAGGCACGTTATAAAATGATTCCATGTAGCAACCTGGAAATCAAACACAAACTCGGATTACTAAACGAAGTAGTACCATTAATTCCGCTTGATCAATCCCATTTGGCCCCACAAATAGAAAAATCTTCGCTTCGTGGGAACCATTTTCAACCATTTCATTACCTTCAGCTGTCAATTCGAAAGTTTTTGAAACTCGTTCTTCCGTTTCCACTAACTATAAAACTACAAAGGCAATTTTGGGGTAATATATGAATATAGTAGGACTATGATATATCTTGTTTTTCTTCTCAGTGAATATAAAAGATGATAAAATTGATAAAGAAGTAAAAAATAAACCCGAATAATGCAAACCCCTTCAACTGCTTTTAAACTTTTCACAGCACCCACTACTTTTTGATGATCTTCTCTAGCAGCTGTAGCGTATTCGAACGTGTCAAATTGATGATGTTTCTCAAGGTAATGCAGCAAATTTTGGGGTAAACCAGAATTATCCATTTTTTCGACACTCGACCATGACTTTGCGGTTTCATAAACAGCATGCAATAATGACGTTCCAGAAGTATCAGACAGAGATCTATAACAGCATGCATAACAAAAAATACTAGAATGACTACTGCGTATCACAAATACAGGCATCAGTGTTATTAACTGTTCTTGACTTTCGATTCAAAACTCAAGTAGTGATATTTCTGGCGAAAGGTAGTAAACACAGTGTGACGGAATCTATGATTTTATTAATAATAATTTTTAAACATGAAAGATTTTGTGCAGTTCATTTCCATTCCTGTGCATTTTTATGATTAAGTACAAGAGTTTTATGCTAATGTTTGCGATCTATCCCAAAGTACAGAAGAATATAAAATTCAAACCTAACGTACTTGAGTTTTGGTTCGCCTTCCAGAAACTTCAGATGATTCAACCAGCGGTGAAAATGTGGATATTTGATAGAATTTACCGTGTCTGAAGCAAACTTCTTGTATACAGTCCAGTCGCTGTCACAGGGTACATATCTAAAATTTTTTTTTTCTTTTTTGCTATCAGATTTCTATCAGCCAAAAGGACGAAAGAAAAGCATGATCGACAGTGATTAATCATGGATGTGTAAAGTAGCAAAAATTATGCATAAATGGATACAACAGTAAGAGGCAGCAGGCTAACTGCGATCTTAATCTTTACGCCATCCTCCATTGTATTTAAAAATGATGGAAGTTATTTTTTTTTCTTTTGATAATTTTTGGAAGATATGTTGAAAGCGTTTGAATTTAGGTGACAACTAGTAAATTGATATAAGCAAACTATAAGTGAATTGATTTTAACCTACTCTCCGATGTAGCTGAAATTAGCCAAATGGTCGTTAAGCACTTGTGGATTCCATTCCTCCATTCACAACCCTGCACTTACCTAAATAATGAATTTCACACTTATATCGATAGTGCAGGCGAAAATATGAGTATGAACTACACGAACCTTCATATGGCCCAACAGAAACATTAGCTTTGGAAACTTCCAAGAGAAACACAAATATTGCACAATAATTAGGCTGTTTTTTCCTTACTTTTCATTACTAATGTTATAATTACATTGTGTGTTTTGATCTTCCAGAGCTTACCTTCATCAATAAAAGTGGTTTTTTAAAGAAGCATAACTTATCAAAACTGATTTTCCGAATTTTGCTGAAATCAGTTAAAAAATTTTAATTAAAAGAAAGGGTATTATTTGATGAATATTATTTGATATTCAGTAACTAATTTAATAGTGTTATTAATGGTGTTAAACTTAACAGTGTTACTCAGTACCTAACTTAATAGAGTTATTTCTCCTAATCGTTTATTTTACAAAATAAAATAGACGACAAACTTCACCGATGAAAGAAAGTGATATAGAAAGTCAGAACACAATTGAAAATAAAGTTAATTGAAACAAAGGCGATAAGTGGATGGGAGAAATCCTAGACGACTGTGGCAGCGAACTAAAGCAGGGAGTTGAATGGATAATTCACATAATATAATGCTATTAGTAACGTAATGAAAACTTCATGTCTAGAAAGCAAGAAAAAATTCCCCAAGAACTGGGAAGGTTCCCCACACAATTTGCACATCATTCTCGGTCATATTTTGATGAAAACGAAAAAAGGAAAACAAGAGACAAGAAGTGAAAGGAGTGAATGATAAAAATCATTTTCAATTCAATAATTCTCCTGGAACATAAATCAACGATTACCTCAATATTCGGGGCACACTGTTTGCGGAAGTAATCAATAACTACTACTACTAAGTACTAGTTTTTCAAACGGTTCCGGCTACTCTAACGAGTTACCTTACCAAACTGGAAAGTATATAACAACAAGAATTGCTAAGGGATCTTAAAGACATCAGCATCTGACAATACCGCCGCAAAAAAGTACTTTAAGAGGTCTGTTACATATTACGTGCATGACCACAGTTTATGTGCAAATCGAACAATCGTTGGATTACGCAATTTAACTTTGTAAATTTATAAAGTCTCATCCCGCACCGCCAATATGCATACAAGTCAGCGCAGAACAACTCAAGACCTGTCTTTCACGTATCACTTAGGCATCAAATTTACACGGTCCGTAAAAATGAGGCACTGAAGCTTTCGAATATGCGATTGTCCTAGTTGAGTAGAAGTTAATACGTATAGAGGAGTAAAGTGGTGCTAATGGCGAAGTACTGTTTATTTAGGTAATTGAAAACTTTTATTCTAGTCAGTGAACCATAAGAATGACGAAAGAGTTGCAAGGTCTTTTGGATCAATATCCTGTCTTTGAATACGATGAAAGGCAAAAGGTTTGTTTTTAATTTTTTTTGATTTTTCATGAAAATGACGAGCATGAAATTTTTGATTTTTTTTGACTTTCATGGAAATGACTTATTTATTTTCCATCAAGTATTGTGCTTTACGGTATAGAAATCAAATCATACATTCGTCAATCATTCCTTCATTAATCATTTGTAGTTACGATGTACATTGACTGGGCACGAGATTCCTTCAAATTTTGATCAACTCGACCAATACGTTAAGACATCAAAATTTGTTCGTGCATGGAAGATGCATCAGATTATGAAGGAATATGGTGAATATTTCGATGATATTGGGTACTTTTTTTTCAGTTTTCGCATATATGCGAGGATCCAACTTGCTCTCAAAGAACATAATTTCGAATTTAGGACCGAATTTAAGTCTAATTTGTTCTTGTATATTATCGCCGTGTACCTATGGATCATTTTGCAAATTAAATATTGTTTGGTTAAGGGAGATGTTAATGCTTCATTGTCTCGACGATATAAAATCATTCATTATTGGGTTGTAGTTGTTGAAATAAAAAACTTGTAACCGTTTTTTCTTTAGTCCTCATGAATTCGGTTGCAAGATTACTATGAAGATCATTTCAAAAGATCCAGACGATCTTTTGAGACATATCAATGGGAAAAAGTTCAAAAAAGGATTGGAAAAAGGTTTGTTTATTCGCATGATTTTGATTAAATGGTCACAATCAGGTGACTAATGAATGCTGTTTTGCAAGTAAATGATTAGTGAGTAGGGTACCACTAAACTATCTCAAATGCTGAAGAATTTTACAATAAATGAAAGTAAATTTTGGAAGCATGTGGGTAGAACTCAAATTAAATAAGCGATTTCAGCACTCCTATTAAGGTAAAAGAACTTTGTTTTGCATGAAATCGATCACAGTTAAATTTAAGTTATATTACCATCGTTTAAGCCAAAATTATTTAACATTCGACGAATATTTTGCAAATCATAGAAAAATATGGTGATATTTTATTGAATCGGATCGTTTTTCTTTTTTAATATATTTTTAGTATTGAGTTTGCTCTAAAGAAACCTCGTTTTCTAATTTATGCACTTATCCGTTCCATGCAACTGTTCTATATGTTTATTATGTATGAAAAGGTAATGAAAATAATTCGTCCGACATTGTTGGAACAAATCGAATGCCACAAAGTGTGCTGCTTCGACTACTTTCGGTAATGTTGTTACATATGTTATTTTCCACAAGAATTAGGGTATGCAGAACAGCTGTTTGGTCGCTAACATTTTCCAGTTTAGAACAGAGTTTGTTTTTTTTTGATGCTTCAATGCTATATACTATTTGTCGCCCTCCCTTTCTTTTTCTTGGTTATTGATTTCTTAGAATGAGCGTTAAATTATGTCCTTTTATTTAACCAAATATCCTGTCGTTTCTTACATTATTTATACTAAGAAAAATTTATTTCCTCATGAAGTTGTTCATTTCTTTTGTTGTTTTTTCTTGCTTCGACTTTTTTTTCATCATTTCCTTTCTTAAAAATTGAAATTTATCAGTTATTAGGTATCGTTATATATGTATTTTTTAGTTCTATTCGGAAGTATTCCCTAATTCCTTAATTTTCCCTAATTTTCTTGAAGATGTATTTGCTCAGCTTTTTTTGGCATATTCTCTCGAAATTCACTTCTATCAAAAAATTCAGAAGTTTTTATAAAATATCATCAAGCTTCGTTATGTTGATGCAGAGAGTTTAATAGGATGGCGTAATCGCAGACATGCTGTTTTCCCTTAAGTAAATCGATTTTTCTCTATTTTCCTTACCCCATGGTTGCTGGAAAGCTTACTAAGACCTCTGTGAACCTACCTGTTTATTGACTACCTAGATGGAGGTTGTTCTTTTTCATCTCTTCCACAGGAAGTCATTTTTTGCTTAGGTGAAGGATGTGCTCACTTTTAGGCCTTAATGCATCTGCCTTCAATAAAGGGAGTACGAATGTCATTTCAGCTGCTCTAATACAAACATAGCACTTTCATTCGTCTTCTATTGCACTGGCTATTTTTACATTTGATAAGCTTCACTTTTTGCATCCTTCAAGAATTAGTACATTATTATTGCATGAATAGTTTGCGCATACATATTACGTTGCCTCATGTGTTACATAATATTAGTGTTAGTCATCTTGACAACAGCGCTAAAAGTGATCTTAATAAAAGGACGATATGCACAATACTGTTGGTCAAGGTAATGAATTCTTGCCCTTGTAGAAAAATATATAAAAACTTCAGTGTTAATAAATAGCAGTTCAGTTTTCTGCAAGTAATTTGGAATATTTTCCTAATTAGCGATTATTGTAAATTGAATTATGAATGGGAGATGTTTGAAATGTCTATCAATCGAAATATTTTTAATATAAAAGTAGTATCGATATTGTATAGATGTATAGTTCAGCTCGTATTGTAAAATACTGTAAAAATTATGTTGATTAGCAGGTTCATACGCAATGTTGGATTGAACTACACATCTGTACAATATCGACATTATTTTTATGTTAAAAATATTTCGGTTTTTACCGATAATGTCCGTGCAGGAACCATTTACATAAAATGACTTTTCAAATACAACTGAGTTGAAATATTGTAGCAATAAAGAGAAAATTGGTTTTTGTTATAATACAGGTTTTTCCTTACCAACCTCCTATTCTGTTTGTCTCAGAAATTCTGACTAATTATCTTATTTTCTATTCATTTCAAGTTCATGCATTCTAGTGCCACGATGATTCTATCCAATATCTCAATCTCTCAATACGAATTATCTCTCAATACGAATTATTAAACAGTTATTGATTAAAATGACTATATAAATTACCAACAGTTGCTTTTTAAGCATCTAAATTCTGTTTTTCTAGATTTTCATCTGACGCAGCAAGTTGTTTTTCGAACTTATAGTTTCCAAAATTTTCATTTCATATACTTTTTTATGAGGGCAGAAATAGCAGTAAATGTCTTAGTATAATTCATGCTAGTCCGTAGTAGTCATTTTGAAGAAATCAGTCGTTGTGCCATTCAAGTATCCTCGAGAAAATTGAACATAGTATGGATGAGTATTGAGTTCCTCTTTAATATGTTTCCTCGCAGGTCTTGTCAACTGTCAGCTGTTATACATAAACTATATTCTTCGAAACGAAATGGTTTGTTCTACCGGAAAATTCTGTCTTAATCGAGTTATCTCAGTTTGCTATCTCCATTTTTCCCTCTCTAGAGAGGAATCTTTTTATTGATTTTCTGTTGCATGCCAATCCTTTTATGAATAATAATGAAAGTGGAAATCTACCCTCATCTGTTGGAGATAAAGTCCCATCTTTTATAATTTACTCGTTTATCCGCTTGCTTATCGTGTCCTATGACCTTTTATTGTTGCCTCACTTCCCTATTAAGTGATGAAGTTATGTTCCCCTTGGTGCTGATATACTGATCTCTTTACCAATCATGAAATCAACTTAGTCTTAATAAACTGCATCAACACATTGGAATTGGTCTTATTAACTTAAGTGCTGGTAACACGCTGATGTTAAGTCTGAATTTCCCTTTCACTGATGCACCACATGCGCCACTTGCTGATGCATTCGAAGTAGATGATTTCTTACTGGATGATGTTAAACAGTGTTGCAATTTGCAAGCCACTAATAGTACCAATGGTAAGTCTGAAGGGAATACTGCTTCTTTTTTCCATCATTTTTCAAACTGTTTATCTGAAAAAGAAAATCAAATTTTTTTCAAATTTTTTCAGCGCCAGTAATTGAAGAAAACGAATTGTCAGATGGCATTTTAGACGAGGAAGAAATGGAGGAGGATGAAATGGATATGCATATGCATACCGAAGTGATCAATGACGATTCCTTTTCTGAGGATGAAGGTGGACTGGATAAAGATGATGAATATCCAGGTAATCAGATTTGAAGGGTTTTCAGTTTTTCTTTTCCTGAAGCACCACGGTTAATCTGAACAGTCTGAACATCAACGTTCAGATTTGCAGGAGAAAAGCCAGCTGGTTTATTTTTGAATGATGTAAAATCTCATGGTGATCTCATCATATATTGTTGACCTTATTTTTATTTGCAAAGCTCTGAAGTAGCTTTATTCTGCAACAAGCATCGACACTTTTGAGAAGAGAAATGAATTTCACATTTTCTCGAAAACGGCAAATTCTGTTAGTCTATATATCAACCTCTACACTCCTGGTAAAGTTTGGGGAATCGAAATGGTACTTATTTATCGCAAGGTTTCTGCGGACCATTGTTTTATTAATAGCTTTTCCAATTCTATATTAAAGAAGGAAAAAGCATTTATCATTTCGACTAAAAATTTTTAGAGCCCCTGTTTCAGAACTGATAAAAACCGGTGGAGAATCAGTCGTTGAGAGCGAAAGTTATGATTTTACCGTGATGGACACTGAAAAGGATATGAATGGTGCTAGCAGAAAAAGAAAGGTTGATTTCATTCAACTATCAAGTTCATTTCCGAATTTTTCGTTAAAACAGTGCCATCTCTGAAAACAAATTCACCTTGTAGTTTAGCAAAAAATCAAACAACCTTTTGGAATTTATTGTTCAGAAAAATCATATCCAGCTGACATAAAAAGATGACTCTTAGTGCCATCTCTGAAAACTTAGTGGTTTCGAAACAACTGCCCTTCAGACATCTGACAACTTTAGCAAAAAAGCATTCAACTTTTAGAAACAGTAGACTACCATTTTTCCTGAAGAACTAATGCAATTCAAATATTATTTTTTTCGTTCCTTTCTTCAGGCAGATAGTTCAACGACTCTCAAGAAAAAACGAGTGAGGTGATATTCCGTTTTTCATGTTTTGTTAAGTAGCAAATTCAATCATCAGAATGAGACAGGAAAAACAGATCAACGATCATGACCGAAATTTTCTGAGAAATATGTTTGTTTTGCGCAGAGGTAAATTTATCTTTACTGACCCAGATAGCAACCAACTATTAAGACTAGGCTATTCATTTCACTTACTTCCTTTATCCATATTATGGCTCCATCCCTTTTGTGTTTCGGTGTTATAAATGATTTGTACTGTTGAAAAGACCTCTCACGTGCGCATATTTTGACTTGTCAACTAAATATATAGTTTAATTCAGAGGTTCTTGAAGGGAAAAGATAAGAGTGGAAGACCTCTTTCTAAGACGAACAAGGTAGAATGAAAAGATTTCTCGAATTTCCTCCTTGTAATGAACTTTATATTCCTTAAATTTCCAAACCATTCCTAAATTTGAACTATCCGATTTGGATCATCAGTGATAAGAACAAAGTTGCCCAACCCCGCATAAATCTGAAATTTATCAAACACGAAAAATACTTGGCGAAGAGCAAAAAAAACATGGATCAAATCATGTCATGAAACAATTCATCATAAAGTACATGATGGATAAGAACTAATAACGTACACGTTGCTCCATCCGACGTCGATTTTGAAGATTTGCGCTCCAGCGGTTTTTATTTGACGAGTCCTACGAATTTTCTAATATAGAGCCATAGGGAAAAGGGAATTGAGTTCATTTTCATGTTGTAGGTTTTTCAAATAGAAATGCCGAAATATGTCAGATTTAATACCATAATCATTTCAAAAAAAAAAAACAAAAAAACTATGTTCCAAGCTCAAGACATTTCATTTTGTGACGTAAACTACCTCCAGTTTTCACAACTGATGACTAAACGTTATGCACACAGTACCTGATAAGTCATGCGGTTGGGGCGCTGCTGTTGTTCCGTAGTAGTTCGTTCTTGGCGCAGGCCATACCATGCGCCTGGCCCTGTATAGCTACGGCCAGCTCGAGGTTCAAGGATCTGCAAAATAATCTCGAGGTTCAAGGATCTGCAAAATAATTGGAAATTTCTCGGGCAGTGAAAATGTTTGAAATTGGGAGAGTTTCCATATACATGCCTGTTCATTACTATCAGCAAGCTGAGTAAGCTTATCCGTCAGATGCAAAGCCAAAAGCTGCAGTCGACTTGGTTCTACACGATGCATGATAAGACAGTCAGTAGGCTCGTCCAAACTTGCACTCAATTCTTCCGAAATGATCATTTTGCTGAAATAAATTCTTTCATATCACATTTTCACCGCGGTGAATTAAACAGCTAGAATTCGTAAAGATTAAATTAGTATGAAAAAATCGGAAAATGATAAAGGAGGGAAAATTCTAAGCCTAACACAAACCGAAAATCGAAGCAGCAACCGAGGGAAATAAAATAAACTTGCTTATCTAGAAAAAAAGCCTGTAGAGAACTAAAAACAAACCTAATCACCGAGTGTACAGTACTTTTATCAAGTTCAAACAGTTGAGAAAGCGTTTCCAACGAGACAGTGGTATAAACTGTTGAGTACATCAATAAATAAGTACGTAAGGATTCTTCCTGAATACGACGAATTACCATTTCCTTTACTTTTTCCGAATTACGGAAGAGATTCCACACCTAGAAATGAAAAGTGAGAAATCCTATGTACCATAAAGTTTCACTATACGCTGAGTCGAGGAATGATGAAGTCTGGAGCCCAAAACAGTAATTAATGATGCATTACAAACACCATATTAGTAATTCAAACTGGAACTATAAATAAACCTTGGCATCCATTTTGTCGTTTACGATGAAATCGCGACATTTTTTCCAATCACCATTTAACATAGCTCTCGACGCTGCTACCACATGCTCACGCGTATTCTCAGGTGGACCAATGAGAGAGCTTTTCTCTGACTATATAGTACAAAAATTCGCATACTGGTTAAGTTTGTTTTAGTAAATTCAACAAGAATAATAATAAGCTTAGTAAACTTACTTGTTTCAACTGATAGTGAAACGACCGCGATAAGAGACGTCGCCTTAGCTCATATTCCTGCGAAGCCATGTGCGGTATCTCCAACAACATTGAGCATATTAAATAGACACATTCCATGAGTTCAACGTTAATGTGCATATGATAAGGAATTTGGCGTGCACGCTCCAGCTTCTCCTGAACGTTATACAAATATTGTAGATTTCAGTTATAAAAAACGAAGACTTGTATTATATTAAAAAGTAGATTAGTACCAAAATGGAGAGCAAATACTTTAAAAGAAAAACCTGTTCAGCCGTTCTTTCTTGTTGTCTCATAGCAATTCCCTGTGCCAGCAATTCTTTCGCTCGTTGTGTATTTTGTATTTCGGAGAGACCTTGATGAGCTTCTTTGATAAAACTATGTCGGAAAGCACACAAACCAAGTTGGCATATTGTTCGATTATAGAGAATCTTAAACGCATAACAATGTATAGCAGTATCATAGTATAGGACATTTCTAGAATTATCTTGACACATTCGAGTATAAAATATAGCTACAAAACCAAAAAAAGAAATTTGAAATCTATCATTGGATTAACACGCTTAGAGCTAATTAAGCTTATTACTCTGTAATGGCGCCAACCTGAGTGCTAACATCTGAATGATCAACGATAGCTTGCAAATGTGACATGAGCATCAAATCTCGTGCTTGGTGCCATTTGTCATGCAATGCCAAATGATAAATTTGACAAAGCATTGCACGTTGCCGTAGACGCTTCGTATCATCACGCGCATATACCTCTTTACAAAGCCGCTCCATTACAGCTAATGATGACTCCTGTCTACGTTCCACCGAATCTTCTACTTCGTACTAAAATATCGATACTTTGTCATTCATCAGTGAAAAATGCACTTCTATCAAATCTTACTAAAAAAGGGTCCTGAAGATCTCAAAAATTAAGAATCTCAAATTGAAGCTTTTACCTAATGATGAAATTCCAAAAAAAAAGCCAAAAATGGATACATAATTTGGAGTCAAACTCATAAAATACAATCATAGTGTAACCAATAAATCGGGAAAGATGAAAAATAAAAAAAAAAAATACCAATGCAAGTAAAACAATAAGAAAAATAAATGAAAATTTACCTTGTAGTAGAGATGTTCAATGCGGAGCATATACAATTTACAAACTTCCTCCTCTAGAAATACATCTTTATTCAATCGGGCATTAACATAGTCCATTAACTTATCAATAAGGGCGCATAAATCCTTTTCACCTTTTAGCCTAAAATCATTTGATAAAATCAAGATTTTCTTCTCTGAAAACCTAAAAAAAAAAGGAAAAAAGATACTGTACTGTATATATCTTCCAGTTTCTGGTGATGCTTTCTTACAAACCACAGGAAGACGTGAATAGAAAGAAGAAGATATATCTAGTACAATCAGTTTCCCAGTAGTGATTTATTGCGCATTCAGCTAAACCTAGAAAAACTGCTTCTTAACCACTTCGTGATTTGGCCCAAAACTAGTAGGAATTCAAATTGTAAAGCCGAAACACCTAGAACTAATTTATTAAGTACATAAAGTTACTGTGCTTGCTTACAATTCTTGGAAAATTTTTAGTCTATTTCGTTACTGCCGACCTATTGCCTTTCTCATACTTCCATAATTTAATCAAGTGTCAAGATATGCCTTAACAAGACAAGTCAAATAAAATTGCAGATTAGAAAAATCCAGTGGAAATATTCAACAAAAATAAACTTTTCAATATAATCAGTGCTGTGACAATCCGCATTTTGCAGTATCTTAGTTAATTCTGTATCCAAACGATGCACACTCATTAAGACAGAACCATGCACAGTATATGGTTTGGTTGCATCCTGTATATTTTCATCATCTTCATTGATACCAATTGACAATACAACATCAGGATACTCGTTTAACATATCTATCAAACTGTTGGTAGCTCCCAATGTTCTGAAACAAGTTGGCTATTTATATCAAAATTTATGAAAGAATTTTTAATATTAAAATATTTCGTCAAAGTCGTACTTGCACCATGAAGAATAATTCATACAGTCACTGATTCGTGCATTTAGTTCAAAAAGGGCAGAGATGATTGAAAACAAAATCTTCACCAAAACACCAGCACCGAGTTTATGCTGAAAATTGTATTTGATTAAGCTTAAATTCAAAACTACGTGACTGAGATTAATTTTAAATCGAAAAAAGCTAAAAAATAAAATGTACAAAAACCTGGCAGCAACAAACCTCATCAGCAATTCTGAATAATTCCTGTAAACTGCGTACGTAATGTTTAGGATTGGTCGATTTGCGTCCTCGAGCAGCGATGACTTCTTGCAATTTATTGACAACAACCTTTAAAATTGTTATATATTAAAACTATTAAATACTCGTCATTTAACTTAAAAATTACAAAAACTGCTGACGTTAGCAATCACACTTATTACAAGTCTCACTTCATGGTTAATTTCAGTTTTGGGATCGAAAAGTTGACGCATTTTCTCTTCTTTTGTTGGTACAGCAACCCACGTATCATCATTTTCATTTTCTTCAGTTTTTTCTTTCGCTTCACGTTCCTTTTGTTCTTTTTGTTTTTGTGCTCTTTCCGCCTGACGTTTTTCTTTACCTTCAGCCTCACCACCTTCTTTGAATTCCTTTCTGCAAAACGACCACTTTAATTGTTATTCATGACCACTCAGTTTCTTCATCCAAAAAAAGAAAAAGTACTTCAAGAAGAATTTACGCAAATCCTCCATTTGTTTTCCTTCAAGATCAAGATCGGAATCACTGTCCGAAGAAGCATTTGAGTCAGAACTCCACTCATCTGAATCTCTGAGATCACTGTGAGGTTTACCTTTCTCCATCTCTTCTTCATTTTCGGGTTCCTCCTGAACAAATGTTAAAATAAATCCTGAATACTTCGTAAAACAATCTGTCTAATTAAAACTCAGAAATGAAAAGCAAAATGCCAAGTCTTAATTGTTCGTCTTCTTCGTCTTGGTTATCTGCACTTGAATAGCCCACTGGATCTGGTTCTGCTCTGTAAGCATTGACTTCCACTTCCATATCCTGAAACATGAAGGATTCCAACTATCTTTGAGGATCGGGCTTCTGGACAACATAATTTCCAAATTTTAGATTCTGTTCACAGGAAAAAACTATCACTTACTTTATTATATTTGCGAATTTTCTGACGCAGTGCAGTGAGACCCTTCGAATTCGCTTTCGACATAGTTTTCCGTGCTTCTTTATCATCCCACTGTTCGTTTACAAAATCTTCTAGCTCAACCAAAATCCGCACATAAAAACGAGGTGTTGACATATTTTGTCGTGTTAACACAGCTTTTGTTTTCTCAAATACTTTACACAGCTCTTCGAACGCTGAAAAATAAATTCTTAATATCATAATAAAGGTTTTAAAATATCAATAATAATTCGTAAAGCTTTGATATATTCCTTCTTTCATCTAATTCCCATCCGATGAAAAAACTGGAGCTGAAAATAAATACCGGAACAAATGGATCTCTAAATTTCAAAGGAAAGGTTAGGACGACATCAGAAATTATATAGTAATGATTTACAGTTAAATTACTCATAACTACTTTAACATGCAATATAATGTGACATTTCAGCTTTAGAAAGAACATTGTGTAAAAATTAGTCTTGCTTAGTTTTCAGAAGTAGTTCACTTTACTAGACATACTTGACAAAAGCTTCGACATATCCTTGATATTCCTTGAATTTTTCGCTTGTTTGATCAGATCTTTCAGTTCTTCAAATTTTCGATCTTTCTGTGCCTTGACAACGCGTTTCTGCCCTTCATCATCACTATCAGATGGATATGCGAATGCGGCTCTACAATTACATCTATTAAAAAATATATTCTTATCGGATCAATCAATAGCTTCTGACATGATGTGACAAACTTGACTCCCGAAACAATTCAATGAGGACATATACCAAAATTTAAGGAAACGAACTGCGGTCTTTTAATCGGCACATACGGTTCCTCATCGCTACTCTCGGAACCTGATGAGTCCGAACTTGACACTGCACCTTTGAAAAACTTTGACATTCTTCTCGATCGGAACTAAAATAATCAGAATATACTTCACACCTCTGCACGACATTCACATAATAAGCCTTTGAAAACTCTCAGACTAGTGACTCCAACTCAAAATCCTCTCATCACAGAAACCCTACCCACTGAAATCCCAACCCCAAAACCCATCTCGTACGTCCAAATTACTATCCTTCCCAAGGTAGCCGGCCATCTGCAGGATCTGGCATTGATACTGGTCAGTATGAAACAAATTCGTCCCGCTGCCACTGGAATGACCGGTTAAACATTGACCACAGATTTGGTTCTACAGCTACCTTGTATATTGTTGAGTATATGTTCCATCAGTGATATCTTCTCTCATTTGATCAACAATGCTAATTTCACATTCTATCAAAAAGTAAAGCAATGATCGAGTCGAACAGATCATTCTTAGCTCATTGAAAGCTGGTATGTGTTCCAATGTTTTACTTTGAATTGATGAATTAGAGTGGTAAAATCTTCTAAAAATCAGACAAATGAAATAGAAGCAAATGGATGAAGGAAACAAAAGCAAAAAGATTTATCACCGTATCACTTTAATTGCTCCTATTAACTTTGCATGAGTGCTTCTTTGCATGAGTGCTTCATTTGCATGACCCATCGGATATTTTGAAAGCCTTTCTTGAGTTTTAGGCACAATTACACCACTAATTAGAAAAACTAAGAGATAACGAAAAGGAAACAAACATCGTACACTTCGGCAAGCTTATTCTTCAGAAACTTTGAGATAGCGGTCGGAGAGTTGCCCGCTAAATATACGACATAGATTATTCCTGTGTTACTTTCCCAAGCTTTTTCTTCCCCCTGTTCTTGTCATCGATCTCTTCCGATATTCACACAAAATCCTATATCTGTGTGTGATGATCAAAAATTGTCATCAACGTTTAGCTCTCATTTAAATCCAATCATTCAAAAATCATACTTTATCTTCTCGTTCATTTTGTCTATGTTTAGTTGCTGATCACTCGTTTTAGTTGTTGATCTTTGACATATTGATCTTCTGAAAAATACCTTATTCTTGCTTTCTGGATCCATATTGTGCAATAGAAGGAAATGGTTGGATTGAAAAAAGAAAGGAGTGGCTGTTCCGACCACATCTCTCGAATATTTTTCCATTCCACGCTGTGTACACTTGTCGTTGTTCATATCAACAACTCACCTGTCCACTGTTCCATCTTTTCAACATCGCACATTTTCATTACTTATTCGAAAAATTCTTCCTATCATTTTATGGTTATCGTATAAGTCGAAATTCACACTTTTAATTACATATTTGGAAGAATTTCACCCGAATATAAGCGTTAAAAATCAAGTATTTTTTACCTTTAGGAAATTGGCATAGTGAATATTTTTGCCAACATGAAAAGTAGTCCAGACCCTTCTAAAACTTTCAGAGGTTAGAAAGTATTTAAAAATGGACAGCTGACCGATAAGTGAGTGATTTATAAGGACTGATTACTTTTTAAGATTTCCAAAAACCTCTATAAAGAAACATAAAGATTTCTAGAATGTAAATACCAGTAACCTCACGTTCATGAATATGAAACTTCATCTGCTAATAAAGATTGAATATCGCAATTTAATTTAGGGAGGAACTTGATTGTACAATGTTGCGTTGGAAGAAATATTTGACTTATAAGAAATGTTTGATCGTAAGTTCCTTTATCTCTATTTTTCTCTTATCACAAATATTGCAAGATACTTCCAATAGCCAGAATGGAAAGTCACTACTTCAAAATTATTTTAACAATTAAATTTTTTGTGCAATCGAGAAAAACTGCATGCTTTATAAGTGTTTATCGTTTGAACCTCAAAAAATTGATCAGTAAAATCAGTTGCAAATAGTATACGCCATATTGGATGACACTTCATTCCGTGATGTTGTCTCGATCTGTTACCCATTCCCATAATTATAAATGTGGCATATCTTGACCAACAACAACTCTTGTCCCTGAAAATGGCTGATATAGGCCCTGCATCGAGATTGCATCGTAATTTAAGCTGTTTGGGACCCTATGCATGGTTTTTAATCTTTGATTTACTTTCCATTCATTTATTTTCATTTTCAGTTGTTCAGCATTAAAGTCATCTGTGTTCTGTACTTATTCCACTTGTCCAAGCAGCGAACATATCAACGAGATTCGTATACGGTCGGCTCAGCGAACTTTTCTGGTTCGTACCGTAATGATTCCATAAATATGTGCATTTTTTGAAACAATCGATAATAGGATGAAATAAGACATTTGATGTCCTCTTTTTCAATCCTTTTCAATGAAGAATTACGAAAGCTGTAAATGTTCCCAAAACGAAACGAAACATCAATTACATCTCTAACACAGTCGTCATCTTCAATTCTTCTGCTTACTTCCCGCAGTCTTTGCCTTAAACATTTTTATTTCATTCTAATACTATTTATCTTCCAGATGATCGATTTAGTGAAACTTTGTTGCTAGAAAATACTTGCAAACTTCCAATAATTGAACCGAATGAACCGAACTTGGAAGGTTATATCGAACATTACAGGTTACTTTTGAATATTCCCCCGATTCTTTCAATTGATGCTTGCAATTTTGATGATTGTTGCGGTAGTAGAGGGATGTATCGTATCGGCTTCATACTAGCGTAGATTGAAAAGAGGTTGAAAATTCTGTGATACATGGTGAAGGGCTAGCAATAACCCCAACAGAATTACAGAAGATATATTTGTTTTATTGACAAATCACAAAATTACACACTGGCAGTCAATTTCATCAATCGGGTCAACGAGAAATGTACATGGAATCGTCGAATTTTTATCAAAAATATGACATGACGGTGAGATGATGTGATACTGATGCTCACTTTAAAACAGGTCAAGCAAGGACAATAGAAAAATATAACGAGTGAGGATAAATGAGAGGAGCACGGAGAAGTGAAGTATATTGTCATATCTTATCAGGCTTATGGGATTTTTACTTATGAATCAATATCCATCAATTGTATTCATTGACTTTGAAATACTAATGGATAAATCAGCTTGGAAGAAGTATAATAATCACAATAATTTACAATAATAAGTAAATAAATAAACAAATAGATAGATAAATGAATAAATAAGTAAATGAATTAATAAGTAAATGATAAATAAGTAAATGATAAATGGATAAATAAATAAATAAATAGGTAAGTGAATTATTAGATAAATGGATAAATAAATAAATAAATAGGTAAGTGAATTATTAGATAAATGGATAAATAAATAAATAAATAGGTAAGTGAATTATTAGATAAATGGATAAATAAATAAATGAATAAATAAATGAGTAAATAGATAAATGAATAAGTAAATGTGTAAATAGATAAATAAATAGATAACTAAATGAATGAATGGATTAATTAATTAATTAATTAATAGTGAATAATTAATAACGTGCGGATAATATTATAATACCCAATATCAACAAAATTACAAAAAAAAAACGAAAATTAAACTTGTAACTGGACATTAAACTCCAAACGATCAATTTTTTTTCCCGATTTTGAATTTTGAATTTTCATCTATTCATCTTGCAGATCTATTCATTGCAACAGCCAAATGCCGGATATGGCTTCTATGGACGATGGATATTTGATTATACATGGCGAACTGGAGCCCTGGAAACAAGTTCGAGTTCCCAAATATAAGTAAATTTTTTTTGAAAAAAAAAGAAAAACGTTCTTGACGACGATGAAATTCCTTTTGCGTTGATTGACAAAACGAATATTTCTAATAAAGGTTTTATCATTGACGGAAAGTTATTCTTTGTTTTCGTTACAAGGCAATTATTGGAAAATAGCGAGAGTAAAGCGTATTCCCAAGCTGTTCTTGAAGTTGCACCAGTTTGTTGGGATTTGATTGAGATTGTAGTCGAGTATGACGAATCCAATAGCATAATTTATTAGTTGGACAACAACATTGATGAACAATGACCAATGACCACAACTCCTTATATAATACGATTTTGTTTACAACGATCCGAGATTAAAACCAATCGACCCCTGGCTGGCCAGAGGTTTATTCGAGGTTCTTTACAATATGCCGTAAAACTCTTTTCTGACTTTTCACCCCATTCCTGTTTATTTCAAAGGGAACTGAAGTTACCATTTATAACAGAAACTTATTTTTTTTGATTTTCTCTACAAAAATCAAATTTTCATTGGAGTAACATTTTAGATGCTACTATCAAGGTCTCACTGGTGGCTTATATCCAAATATCAGTTGGTATCAACTAATTGATGACCCTATCGAGGTGATTTGGAAATATTTTACCTAGCAATTTTAATGATGGAAATCAAGTCTCTTGCATTTAACTATTTCCTTTAACCTATATAACACTGATTCCAGCATTCGTCAATCTTTCTAAAAGACTTGATTTAACAAAAAAGTCGTGACAAGTTTAATCAGTAACCGACGCAAAAGCATTGACGAATCTTTTAGAAAGATTGAAAGATCTCCAACTGATCTGTTATCGTTGTAATTGGGAACTTTTAAATTTCAAATCTTTGTACTTAACAAATTTCTGAGGATAACATTCGCATTACAGATACCTCCGAGTAAGCGACTTCGTATTCCATATGACCAGTTCATAGTGCGATGTTACAACAAAACTTTGCTTGGAAAAATCAGCGATAAACCGTTTTATAACGAATCCATGTTCTATGAACATGCTTTTGTAACATTTTCCAAAATGGATGATATGGTTAGTTGATACACAGAATATTCAGATTCCCAATTAACTCAGTTTTATTATACTCAACGGGTTACAAACGATGAAGAGAATGACCCTTCTGGGTCAAAGTAGTGAAGAAGTAAGTAGGGAAGTACTGGATAAGTGTGTTTCGATCTTTTTTTTTCAAATTTTATAAAATTCGGTTCAAATATTTCTTTCAGCTCGAGAAAAAGTCAGAATTCAAGCGAGCAGATCCAGTAAGCTTCTTGAAATTATTTTTTCAAATGATGAATTTTTCGATCAACTACGAATCTAAAATGTTTTTATATTTTAACCGATTACGTCCATCACACCATCTATTTTACTTTCAGGAAAAACCATCGCTTAGTATTCTTGTACTAGATTCAGTATCCAGAAATCAGTTTCTGCGACATATGCATAAAACTGTTGAATACATGAAACAGCTTGGTTTCATCATTTTAGAAGGTTTCAAACAGTTATAAAAAGCCTATTAGCAGCTTCATCAGTCAGGAAGGCAATTTAATTTATAACCGAAAATTGAATATCAGGAAGAAAGACAGTTTGTGACCGCCGAAATGAGAAGTTATACTAGTGATTCTGGCTAATAATTATTGTGATTAAAGAAGCTATTTACTAGTGAAATCAGCAAAGTATTAAGATGGGAAAAATGAATAGAATATAAATTTAATACAAATTGATATGCCCTACTACCTTTTTTACAGTCGGAACAAAATTTCCGATTAATGCAGTTTTACAATGATAATTTTTGAAAGATTTATAAAAAACTCGCGTTGGATAGTTTAGTTTAGGGTACACAAAAGTGGGCGATAATTCTGCAGTGAACTTGTTACCGATACTAGCTGGTAAATCAATATTACCGCAGATTGGTGGCAATGGCGATGAAGTTTTACCATTAAATAAAAAAGTTTCTTTGGAAGATATTGACTTTTTATGGAAAATGATGAAAGGTATTGTTTGTTTATAGAGATTTTCTTCTAATTATATAGTTATTCGGTAACAGTAATATAAAAATGGTTGAAATACTGAAATTTAATGTATGAACCTGTCGCATAATTCAGTGATACTGAATGGCACTATGTGGTATTAGTGCTTTTAGTAAAGTAGTGTTGGAAAATCCTGAATGCTGTAAAGTACACCGATACAGGAGAATAATACTGTAAGGTGTAAGATGAGAAATGGGCATATCGAATATAAAAAATCTAAGACAGGAAATGTGTAACCATGGTAAATGATGATATCGGTAATGTGTTTCGCGGACTATTCTACTATCCCAACGAGACATTCCAGGGATATAAAACGCCACCAGCGCATTTTTACTTTCGTCCCTTTCACTTGTTCAACACTCGTCATCATATAATTCCTGCTGGTGGTCAGTGTTTAAGAACCGGAGAGGTATCACTTTTATATTTGATTACAAAGCAAATGTCGATCTCAGCTAGTGGTTTTGATCGAGACACAGTATGATCATCCCTACTGCTCCCTACTGAATTTAAAATGATTCAGATTTGTGCTGAAGTCTATTTGGACATATGGGAAACATTTGCGACAAAATTCAAAGATTTATGTCATTTTTCATTCAATTTTATAACTGGTCTAACGCACAATAATCCGAATTATATTGAAGCTATCGATGAGCGATTGTCGTAAGTCACAGTGTCATTATGAATGAATGGATTTTGTATTCTTTATTTTTGCAAGTTTTTATTGCAATAATTTAATATCAAGTGAAAGAGTTCTTTAATACCATGAAATTACGTGCACTTGCTCCATACCTTATCACTATGTCACTCTCAAAGTAAGGAATGCTGAAGTAATACATATTCTTCAGAACATCCTTGCAACGTTTACATGGGAACGGAGTGTTCAATTCCATGGCACTTGTTATAATGGGAGATCACGGGAATCGGATTGGCTCAATTCAACGAACATACATTGGTCGCATCGAAGAACGAGCGCCACTGTTCAGTATTAGATTACCCGATGCCTTCACTTACAAGTATCAACAGGAAACAAGAAATTTAAGGAGAAATATGAAAAGGTTTGAAAAGTCTAGTTTTGATTTTTGTTTACTTCTATAACTTGTCATCTTTGTTGATTCAATTTTCACATTTTCATATGAATTAGCTTGTTGTTAAACCCTTGAAACACATCGAATTTATAGCTTTCTGCGAAACACTTGAAAAATGTAGAACTTCTATTCCCTTTTGAAGATTTTTCAATCTCGTCTAGAGAAGATCAGGATCACTTCAATATCAATAATGCCTCACACAGTTATGGAAGATTTCCGAATGAGAGTTTTTAATTTAAAACAGTCATTTTACAGAAGTTTATTCGTTAAATATCTTTAAAATTTAGATTAACGAGTAATTTTGACATACATCAAACACTAAAGGATATCTCGAGGGCAGAATTTCGACGAAATCGATCCTATTACGACCGAAAGGGTAATTTCTCCAGTAATTGGAAAGATATTGAATAAATTTAGTTCCTTCATAAACCAGGTTATTCTCTCTTCAATTTTTTCAAACTCTTTTCTAAATTTTGAAGGGCTGGTCAAAAATATATAGTGAAACTAAATTGTGAACAGGATTTATTTTAAAGGAAAGGTAAATATGATTTTAAAAAGTGAATGCTTAGGTAGAGGTGTC